GAAGTAATCTGTATAAATGCAATATAAATGTATTGTTTATTGTGTAAGTATTATTAAAGATTTTGCTTTGAGATGTCCTCAGTTCTATGTTCTATCTTTGCTTATTAGCTAATAAGAAATGTATGACACAAAGGAAAACAACACTAAGACATCAGAATTCAGGTCACTGAAATGACTAATTTTGAAGACTAGTGGTATAACAAACTTCCCTCGTTTCTGCAGAGAAATGGTAGACTTTGGATGCAAAATGAATCCTGCTTTATCAGATATGCTCATTGTGTTAGTTTCTTTGACTTAACTGTGCTTCTTTATTGCAATGAAGTATAGAAGGAAAGAGTTTTGGGAAATGGTAGCAGTATTAAAAGTATTGATGCTTCTTGATGTTTGTGATCCATATGAAGAATGACTATAAAGTAATGAGATTGCTTTATAGATATGCTTTATATTTCAGGAGAAGCCGTGGAGTATGAATTAGGCAGAAGAAATTTTATTATATTTTTCTATTGTTTGTTGGCTGCTTTGCCTGAGAAAAATGTTTTACACATTTAATGGCACTGTTTGTTTTTGTTTAAAATTATAATTCTTTTCTATTTGCTGAACAGATTTTAGATTTCAAAATATTTTGATTTTCTGTACAAATGTTAATACCTGCTGTATCTAAGGCATTGTGCCAGTTGGTTTTATTTGTATTTCTTAATAGCAGTGGTGTCAAACCCAAATAGAAATGGATTTCTGCCAGCTGGATATTGACTTAGAAAATCACAAATTAATATTGTCTGTTTTATTGTATTTTTATTTATTCTGTTAAGCATTTCCCAATTACATTTTAATTTAAATATTTATGAGTGTTTCAGGCTGCACGTGCCTGTCATTTTGACACCTTCGCCTTACAAACTCCTTCTGAAAAAAAAGATCTAGTTATTGAAGTACTATAGCACAAGTGCTTTCTAGTATTAAGGCAGTCAACACTTATAATTATGGAAAACCTGTCTTCTTCTTTCAGAAAGCCTGTAGTATTAAAAGGTAAAGTACAGGGCTGTGTTTTAATTTTTACAGTCAGTCACAGCAGCAAATCCATTTAGAATGTATGTTGTTTGAGATAGTTAAAACAGCCTGTATAGTGGATAGAATTTGACACTAGTTCTGTGACTAAAGCAAGCCACTTAACCTTTCCAAGACTGAGTTTCTTAATCTGTAAAATGAGGACAATAGTATCTGTAGTGCCTCCTTCGTAAGACTATTGTGAGATGATATATATAAAGAAATGAGCAAACCTTAAGGTGTCATACAGATATCAGTTCCAATCCAACAAACATTTATTAAAAACTATTATACGAAAAATAAGGGAGCAGCTACAGTGAATAGGGAGCCAGCCTCAGAGTCAGGACTGCCTGGGTTCTTCTCAGAGAAGTAGGTCTGACCATTTGAGGAGGAAGAGAGTACCCATGGAAACCAGGAAAGCTTCCTAGAAGAGTTAACATATGACCTGAATCTTGAAGGAGGCTGCAGCTTTCAAAAGGGGGAGCTGAAGAGGAAACGGATTCCAGGCAGGGGCAGGGGTGGGAGGGGTGAGGGGGGTTGGCGCAGCATGGGCAACGGTGCTGGAGGCAGGAGAGGGAATGCTGAGGCTAGAGAAGACCAAACAGGCCAATTTGACCACAGCAGAGAAGGTGTGGTGGGAAGTAATGTGAAATAAGCCTGGAAAAGTATGCTGGAACTGTCTTTCCAAGGGATTTAAAAACCAAACTGAGGAGTTTGTATATTACAGTTAGTAGGGGACCACTGAAAGTTCTTGAGTTGTGTGTATGTATTAGTTGTGTACATATAGGTTCTTTCCCTCTATCTTTGACCTCTTTGTGGTATACGTTTAGTAATGCTATTGCTGGGTCAAAAGGTATACACGCTTAGTGACACTTTTTTTTTTCAACCTGGACTGTTGCCAAGCCAAATTCTAATTTGTCACCTTGTTTCCCTTCTCTTCTGCTTCAGTCCATCCTACACATAGCTGCCAGAAGTACCTTCCTAAGCGCATCTGACCATGCCCTGGCCTGGCCCTATCATGTGCTCAAAAACCTTCACTGGCCCCCTGTTGACTCTATTATAACATACTAACTCCTCAGTTTGGCTTTTAAAAAGCTCATCACAGTATGGTACCATATAATACACATCTATAATTTATGTACATACACACACACACACACACACACACACACACACACACAGAGTCATCCCTTGCACATTCCCGGATTTCACATTCTGGGTTTAGATTATTTGAGGGATGGCCAATGATAATTAAGTGGGAATTTGTGGGTTATGGAAAATCAGAAGTAGGCAACACAAGTATGTAAAGAAAACTAAAAAAATTTTTAATAAGTCATAAATGCACAAATACTGAATATTAATCTTTTTTATCACTTACAACCATAAGTATGCATATACAAATTTATTATAAACAGTTAAATTTTGTTAACAATTTCAGTGCGTTAAAGAACTAAGCTACAACCTTCTCTTTGGGAGCACCTCTTCTTTGTATCTTATGCTTTTCATAGACAAAGCAGTTGGTGAAGCAGGTGCTGCAGCTCTACTGGTGGCTGCAAAGCTCAGCATAATGTTTGAGATACTAACCTTTCCTAGAAGCTGCAGCTGTTTTGTGAGCACAGTGTGTTGTTTTACTTGTTTTGAGGGTTAAATATGATCAGAATTATTAAAAATAAAGATTTGGGGTGGGGCCTAAAGTTATTTGTGATTTTTCACATTTGTGGGTGTCTTGTTTCCCAAAATCCCGTGAATATCAAGGGAGAACTGTGTGTATATACCACACACCCATACACATACATACATATGTATTTATATAGCTATATATCAGCATTTTTATTATAGCAAAGAACTAAAAACAAAGTAGATGCCTATAAATTTAGGAATGGTTGAACAAATTATAATATTAATTTAATGGAGTATTATTATGCTATAAGAAATAGTGATTATGAATGAGTCAGTGAAACGAGAGCTAGTACATAATGAAGTGAACTGAACCAGGATATCAGTTTATCTGGCATCTACAGTAGAATAAAGAAAAACAACTGAAAAGTCTTATAAACTGTGATCGGTGTAGTGACAGATTATAATTTCAGAAGATTTATAATACCTGCCTCCTCTTTGAAAAGACATGCTGTACAAGAGGTACAGAATGAGACATTTTCAGATGTAGCTAGCATGATAATTTGTTTCATTGACCATACTTAGTTGTTATTATGTATATATGTGTGTGTGTGTGTGTGTGTGTGTGTGTGTTTGTGCACAAAAGGAGTTTCAATGAAATACTTAAAAATACTTAGAAGAGAGCAGAAGGGAGTTTCCCACATAAGCATTTTATATTTCCCACAAGCAGGGCAGTTTTGTTAACTACCAGGTTAGAGTTAATATCCACTTTTAAAAGTATATAACAGAAGTTCAGTTTCATATGCAGTCATTTTTTCTATTCATTGTATATTAAACTATTTTATATATTATTAATTAGTTAATAAAATACAATAATGTATAAATATAAGTCTGATAACATGGAGGGAAAACTAATGGTTTTGTTAACTGTCTTACCTACATGCAAATGTATAAATATTAAAAATAATTATTAAAATTTCACAATATGAATTATTTCATTCAATGGCAAAAGAAGTGACTTCCCACAGACTTTTATTTTTGCCTAATTGAATGAAACTCTCAAAACTCTCAACTCTGTTTGTTGATGTTTAAGTTCATAATGAAAAAAAAAGAAAAGAAAAAAGGCCAAATGAGAGGTAATAATGGCCGAATGAGAGTGACCTTGTGAATGCAGAGAGAGAATGGAGGAATAGTGTGGCCATTAGAATCAACAAAACTTGGCAACTTAGTGGGTACAGAGGATGAGGATGAAGAATTTAGAATAATTCTAAAGAATGAAAGTGAGGAGAAGAATAGTGGTGTTCTTGATTTAAAAAAAGAAAAGGAGATTTAGAGGAGAAATGGGTTTATGATGAATTCTTTTTTGGACTTAGTGAGCTTGAGATGCCATTGAATCATCCAGCTAAAGATGTCCAGCAGACAACATAGGACTAAAGTTCAGGACACAAAGTCTTCTTTTTCTTCTTCTTCTTTTTTTTTTTTTTTTGGTTAAGCAATGGGGTTAAGTGACTTGCCCAGGGTCACACAGCTAGTAAGTGTTATGTGTCTTAGGCCAGATTTGAACTTGGGTCCTCTTGAATCCAGGGCACCGGCTCTATCCACTGTGCCACCTAACTGCCCGGACACATAGTCTTCTAAAACTCTAACTTCTAAACTTCTGAAACTTCTAAAACTATGTTTATAAGAGAGTTTTAGAGAGTTGCCTAGGTCACTAAGAAGTTAAGTAACTTGCTCAGGGTCTCAAAGCTGCTGTGTGTCAGAGAGTAGACTTGAATGCAGGTTATATGTGCGTGAGAATGTATATGTATATGTTTATACATATTTATGTGTGTGCATATACTTATATGTCTGTACATAGCTTACACAAATATATAATGTGTATAAGTATGAATGTAATTATATAGATTTGGAATTCATTCATAAGGAAATGATAATTGAACGAAAGAGAGCTGATGAAATCACTAAAAAACAGTGTTATATGCAGAAAGAAGATAAATGAGTCCAGGTGTTTTTTTTTTTATCCATTTACCAATTAGGATTTCTTTTTCATAATACCAGTAATTTTACATTTTTAAAATTTTATGAGGGAAAGTTAATAGTACAGACTTAGCTTTTACATTCTTCCAGAGTTCTTTTTTTTATTTTTCAAAAAAGTATGTGTACATGTTCACATGAGCTGGAAGTGCTTACCCAATAGTTTAGTAAGTAAACATTGAACTAAATTTATTGAGTAGACTTCAGTAAGTTTAAAAAGCATTTTTTATGTGTAGACATGTATAGCTTTGACAAACCTACTTAGTTTACTAGGAAGTTAATATCTTCTTATTTCTCTTCTTACTCAGGTAGATGTACAAATGTCTACCACAAGACGAAAGCGCAGCATGTTATGTACTTTACCATAAGCTGTCATAAAATGAGCTCAATTGCAGACAGGTATGTTATTAGATGCTATTTTATGTTATATTAATTTTCAAAGGCAAATTAATAATTTATGTCAAATACGTAAAAAGGCTTTTATACTTAAACATAATTGTTTTAAAGTCCCATCTTTGGGTTAAACTGTCTTTTTTTTAATATTAGATAAAGTACAATATTATAGTTTAGAAGCAGCAACAAAGTAAGTAGGGAAGATTGCAGTCTGGTTTCTTCCATAAAAAGGATATGTGAGAGAAGTTCTTACTGGTAAGCATACCTTTTCAGATGAAAAAGATTTGACCACAGGAACTAATGACGAATTAAACCACTTGAAACTTTTATATTGTTGAGTAAGAATGTCAAGACCACTGATAATGGAGATAATTTTTAAAATTTGCAAATATAACTCTAATAACATTAGGGGGGAAAAACCTAATGGTTTTGTGAACTGCCTTACCTCAGTGCAAATGTATAAAAATTAAAAATACATTATTAAAATTCACAATATTAATTATTACATTTAATGGCAAAAGAAGTGACTTCCCACAAACTTTTATTTTTGCTTAATGGTGTTATACTTTATATTTTACTTCTTATCAGAATTACCTATTATAGAGGTGGGCAGTAATAGATATTAAATAGATACTTGTTGAATTGAACTAAAAGTGAGTTAGTTATTGAAAAGTTTTAATTTATATGATCAGTTGGTTTTGTAAAGCAATCATAAAGCCTACTTAATTAAGATGATTTTACAATATATGGGTCAAGTCAAGTAATAAGATTTTTTTTCCTGTTTCATAATGAGTATGCCATTAATCTCTGTTTTAATGTTTCAATGTCTCCTTTAGAGATGATGGTAGTATTTTTGATGGGCTGGTGGAAGAAGATGACAAGGATAAAGCAAAAAGGTGGTTATTTGAGATGTGTACTTACAAGTAAATGATTAAATTGGCTGCCTTAAATATTCAAATGTATTATTAAAGTAAAAGATCTTTTAATATTGATATGCTTCTATAGCATAGCATAACTTATCCTGAATTTTGTAGTATATTTTCCTTCAAAAAATTGATACTGGCAAAGACAACCAACCTTACCAAGCAAATGAATATGAAATGATTATCATGTTACAAAGAGATAAATTTACTAAAACTATTCCTTAAGTGTTGTCAAATCATTTCCTTATGGATAGACATGAATAAATACCCCAAAAAACTTAAAGCTTAGGGTGATTGATTTTAGACTGGCAGTGGATTGCTTAAATAAATACAGATAAAAAATGTCTGGAATTATGGGTGACTCAATAGGAGATGTAGTTAAATCAGTGAACATTCAGTTTATGTATAACTTTTCAAAGAGACTTTGATGTATAAGTATTTTCATCTGTAGCTGTATATCTTACTTGATCATAAATGCTCTATAAAAGTTGGAATGTTTTGAAAATAGTACTTTAATTTCAATTTCAACTTCAACTTAGCCTTGCTTAAATTGAAATAGTAAGACATTAAAACAAATGAACATGAGATGGCCCAGTGCTAGGGCACTGATTTTCTTTCATCTCCACTAACTGGAATACTTAATGTTGAGTTTGATTAATGCTTTAAACACTTGGTTTGTTTGACCTGTAAATGAACTTAATTTCACATCAACAAATCAGTAAGTAAATAAATAATATAGCCACTGTTCTTCATAAATAAGAGTTTTACTAATATGAGCTATGTTTAACTTTGTTTACTTTTGTAAGACATGTAAAAACTTAATCTATAGTATATTTGGCTGTAAATTCAATATAGTGTTTTTTGTCTCCATAAAGATTCATGAAACGAATCAAAAACATTTGTTCAGATGAGTTGAGAACATTGTTCAATTTGATTTTATGTGAATGGCAGCCTTTTTGTAATTATTTTCTGGCTTATGTGGAATAAATAAATGAATGTCTTCTATTAGCTTCCAAAATAAGTGGCACATTCATTTGTATAATTGTTATTTAAATTTTTTTAAACATCCATAATATCATGGCCACTGGATTCTGAGTCAAGAGATGTTGATTCTCCAGTAAATGTCACCTAATAATGTGGCCAGTAGACTAAATTGGATGATGATTCCAACTCTACATTGAATGATTGCTAATCTTTCTTCAGAGTCTCCAGAAACAAATCTGAGAAGAAGCGCAGAGATCAGTTTAATGTTCTTATCAAAGAATTGGGATCTATGCTTCCTGGTAATTCTCGGAAGATGGACAAATCCACTGTACTACAGAAAAGCATTGATTTTTTACGGAAGCACAAAGGTATTTCAACTTAATAAATGTATTAAGTAGTACAAACTGAATCCAATATTGGTTTTATTTGCTTAAAAGCAAGGTATAATTTACAAAAGAAAACTCATGGGTAGAACTTAATCATTTTAATTTTTCCTGGTTGTCTTATTTGGATGTGGGGAAAACTTCAAATTTTAACTCTTGTTTTGTAACTTTAAAAAGAGTTTTTATGTGCTAATAAGTAATCTGGAAGTGCAAAGCAATTGGTCTTAATTAGTGATTATTGTAGGAAAAGTGTGTAAAATATTATCTTTTTATTAATCTTTTACAGAAATCACTGCACAGTCAGATGCCAGTGAAATTCGACAGGACTGGAAACCTACATTCCTTAGTAATGAAGAGTTTACACAGTTAATGTTAGAGGTATATCAAAATTCATCTTCTTAAAAGTTTTAACTTTAAAAGATTCTCTTTGACTATTGATAAATACTGTATCATTTTGATTTAATTTAATTCAACAAGCTGTGCCTTCATTGAACAGTGATCATTTTGTTTTTATATTACAACTTTGGGAAAACCAAGGCTAAATTTTTCTAGATTTTATATTATTTGAGTTTTTTACCATCTTAATAAGAGAAAGATATATTTTTGATTGTCCTTATTCTGAGGCTTCTCTGGGAGTAAGTAAAATATTCATTATTTACTATGCTTTAAATGACATTAGATACCTTGTCATATAGGTTGACTAATGCAAAACCTGTCTTAAAACATTTTTAAAAGGAGCAGCTAGGTGGCGCAGTTGATAGAGCTCTGGCAGTCAGGAGGACTTGAGTTCAAATGCTACCTCAGACACTTGACACTTACTAGCTGTGTGACCCTGGGCAAGTCACTGAACCCCTATTGCCTCATCAAAAAAAGAAAAAAGCAAATAAATACTTAAAAAAATTTTTTTCAATGTATTGCTAGAAGATAATAGTAAAACATGGCTGTAGGTTTTAATATTACAAGAAAAAGTAATTCAATCTTAATTCATTAGAAATTCTTTATAGGAAATTAACTTATATGTTCTTTTGTAGTGAGGAAGTTTACAAAATCCAATTAATTTGAGTGCTAGTAGTGATATATTTTTATCAAGATTGTCAAATCTGTTCAGAAAATCAAATAATATTTTTGGAATCCATGATTTCTTTGATTTCTTTCCCATGGGTACTGCCTCCACCAGCATAGATTGAAACCCTTCTATGCTTCAGTCACTGGTCTTTTGGAATTGCTGTGGCTTAAAAAAAAATTTCATCACCTACCCTTTGGTAATGAAATTTAGTCTGATTAGTACTTTGCTAGCAGACAGTTTGACATTAAGTCTGAAACTCTGCATCTTTCCAGCTTGTTGTTGTACCTGTCAAAGTTCACGTCTTTTTAAGACTTCAGGTTCCTTAGAGAAGCCAAAATTACCTTCATGCCTTGATGAGGCTTTGGAATGATACTTTAGTGGATGAACCAATTGTAAATGCCATGTAAATATTGAGATGCTCAATCACCAAAGTTAATCTAGCATTTTTACTTCTTATGAGTATGGCAGCGTAACAGCTGCTATCCTGGTATGTCAAATGTATTTAAATATTAAAAATATTTGTATGAAAACCTAACAAAAGAACTATGGGAGGTAAGAGAAATAATATTTTGGAAGTATACAGGCTTTGGTGGAGGAGGAAGAATAGGAAGGTGAGAAAATGCATGAATAAGAGAGAAAGGTAAAAGAAGTAATCAGCATAGAGAAGCACAGAGGTTAATTATTAAAATCTTTCCTCACTTGCTGCCTAATTTTCTTTTATTTTTAATAATAAAAATTTATTTAATAAAAAGAATTTTTAGGCCATAGGCAAAAAGGTATATTCAACTATTATACTATTATGTTTATATTTCCATATGCCAAAAGACCAAATTGTAGCGGAGAGGAGAAAGAAGCGTATTCATGAATTATCTTTTGTTGATATCAGTTGTAAATGCTAATTGTTAGGCTAAATAAATCTTGTTATTGTTAGGTTAAATTGTTAGGTTAAATAAAGCTGAGTTGTTAACATGAAAATATTGATGAACATAGCTTGTGATTTGAAGTGAAAGATTTGTAAAATTCAGTCATATTTGTGAAGTCTAAATACAATTTGTTTTTGATGCCCATGTGCATATCTATAATCAAAACTCAATATCTAACCTAAATAAACATGTAGTTAACTTTTTTATGATTGCAGAGTAAACTGAAGTGTAACTTATAATTTTGCTAATTCTTTTTCTCTTACCAGAAATTAGCTTATTATTTAGTATTACTAATTTAGCTGTCATATCAAATGTTAGTGATGTGGTTGAAATAGTTTTTGTTTTTCAGAAATTTTTTTTAAATATAATTATTAAATCCCACTTATTCTTATAGTATTTAGAATTCTGCATCTGAAATTTTCTGTATTCATATTTCATATTTTTTGTGTAAAGCATATTTTTTGCAATTAGTAAATATATTAATAGGTATTTATGATTACTACAAAATAAATTTGTTGTCTGAATTTATAAAGATAAAGTCTCTGAGACAGACAGAGAGAGAGAGAATGTGTGTGTTATTCTTGGATCTAGATTTTGATATAAACATGATTTGGCCTATTTGCAGAATTTTCATTGTTTCAAATCAAGATACGGAGGGAGGGGGAATCTAAATATCTGATTTCAGTAGGCTACATTTCACCTGGCTATGGTTTGTCTGGCCAGAGCATATACATATACATATCCACTCATACATAGACACATATAACAATATATATACCTATATCTGCATTAAGATGTGTATGTTTGTATATGTCCATTTACCTGTACGGTGTTTGATCTACTTATTTGCACTATGACTGATAAAAATAGCTATTGCTGACATGACAATATACCACTTTATGTACTGGCCAGAGAAGCTTTAGCCAATTGAAATATGGCCTTCTATTTAGATTCTTTTTCTATGTCCTAGATTGAAACATTAAAAATATGGCAGATGGGTAGGCCAGTTTACGTTTGAATAAAGTCTAGATTGAAGAATATACATATGTGCAAGACTGTGAGTAGGGATTGTTTCCTTCTTTGTGTTTGTATTTCTAGTGCCTAGCACAGTGTCTGGGTCTGACAGGGGTGGGGAGACTGTGGCCTCGAGGCTGAAGATTCCCCACTCCTGGTAGGAGATACTAAGTGCTTAAAAAAAACTTGCTTGCTTAATGCAGATATACATATGCGTGATAACTGTGTGTGTATACATTTTAGTAATAACAGTAAATATTTTGTTCAGTTGTGTCCAACTCTTTGTGACCGTGTTTGAGGTTTTCTTGGCAAAGATACTGGAGACCATGGTTTGCTATTTCCTTCATTAGTTCATTTTGCAGATGAGAAAACTGAGGTAAACAAAGTTAAATGACTTGCCCAGGGTCACACATCTAGTAAGTATCTGAGGCAGTATTTACTAAGTGCCAAAAATATATTTGATTTGTAATAAATGGGAAATATTATATAGCCTGTTTCAGGGCTGTACATGTAAATGCTATGAAGATAATGGAGCAAGAATTTAATTTTTAAAGAGGTTTTAGAAAGAAGGAAATCCATTTTCATTTTCCTTTTTAAAATGTTTAACATATATACATGTGTGTAACTGTATACACACATATCTTTCAGCTATACAGGATAGACTTTTACATATTTTCCTACGGCTTCTGATGTTTGGTTGTTTTCTCAATTTAATAGCCATAGTTCATGGACTGGTAGTGGCACTTATTGATTAATTAGCTGCCTATAATGAGGATAAGCAGCAGTAGACTAATGTTTTATTACATGCACATTTGTATATTTTATTCTCATTTCAGTAACAGTTTTAGTATGAAAAAATGTTGAGAGACTTTATCCATAGTAAAGGTTATTAGCACATCAGAAGTGTGAATTGGGTTTTTTTGTACCTGATAAGTTTATATACATTAACACCTCATGAGCTATAACACCTGTGTGTACAGAGCACTGTATATAGCATAACTGAAGGACAATCATTGCCCTTTAGTAGTGTACAATCTAATAGATGATCAGAAAAAAAGGAGTGAAGTGTTCTTTGTTTTTGTTTTTTAATCTAGATACCTGAGAGGAGACTAAAATTCACATATACTTGTACAAAGAAAAAGGGGAAATAACTCACAATATTTTGGTAGTGCCCTCATAAATCTAGATGAATTATATTTAAATATCTTTTCTTTCATTCTATGAGATGATATTTTTATTTATTATATGAACTTTTTTCTTTTCATTTAACTTACCATTATATTTAATTTCAGGCTCTTGATGGTTTTTTTTTAGCAATCATGACAGATGGAAGCATAATATATGTATCTGAAAGTGTAACTCCATTACTTGAACATTTACCAGTAAGTATAAAAATGGTTACTAATGAATCAGACTTTAGACTAAGTTTCACAAAGGGGTTAGAGTTCTGTTTTTTTGTGCTTTTTTTTTTTTTTGCGAGGCAATCCAGGTTAAGTGACCTGCCCAGGGTCACACAGCTAGTAAGTGTCAAGTGTCTGAGTTCAGTTTTGAGCTCAAGTCCTCCTGATTCCAGAGCTGGTGCTCTATCCACTGTGCCACCTAGCTGCCCCTAGAGTTCTGCTTTTAAAATATCAATTAGTGCAGGTATCACATCTATTTAATTTCTTTGGAACCATGCTTATCATTGTGTTTTGCACAGTGCTTAATAATGTTTATTGAATTGAATGACAGTAGTCTTATCAGACTCTTGTGTTCATTCTCCGTTACTTGTCCTCACTTCCATCTTCAGTAATGCCATAACATATTAATATGCTGCTAAGAATGGAGTATTTTAATTACCGTCTGTTCGCTTTGCTCGGAATCATCTCCTTCATAACCTTCACCTCTAAAAATCTCTGGCTTCCTTTAAGATTGAGATCAAAAGCCCCCTTCTGCAGGAGGCCTCAACCTAGTTCATACAGATACCAATGCCTTCCCTCTAAGGTTACTTTCTATCTAGTTTTCGTGTATCTTTATGTGTATCTATTTATGTATTTGTTCTGTCTTTATATGTAAGCTCCTTTAGGGCAAGGACTGGTTTTTATTTTTATTTGTATCCTAGCACTTAGCACGTTGTGGTTAGTAAAATCTGAGACCATCCCAATTCATGTGCTTGTTGATTGATTTAATAAAGGTTTAAGACCTGCTTTGATAAGAGGAGTAATAGTAAACACTATGGTGGTTGTGGGGTGGGAATCCAAAGATGAATAAGACATGCTCCCTCCCCTGGGGGGGGGTGAGGTACTCTACTGTGGACAGATACTGTAGACAGGATTCAGTATTGAGATATGGTTTGGATGACTTCAGAGGCTTTTTCTAGCTGTAAGATTCTGTGATCTTACGCATACTAAGACACACATATAATAGTTATAACACAAAGCTGTATGTAAGTTATCAGATGGTGCTGACTTTTTACATGGTCATATGCACATCCCTAGAAACAAACAAAAAAAAAGTAAATGGAACCCAAGTGGATTGATACTATCTCCTAGATGGTGAAGAACTAAAGCTTTAAAAAAAAAAAGAGAGAGGATGGGATGGGAAAAAATCTAGCCTCCCTCAACCAAGAATAGCAGGGCTGAGACAGATAGCACATTAATAAGTCTTAAGAGTGAAAGTCAGAAAGATGTAATAGAAAATGGAATTTTAAGAGACAAGACCCATAGGGACACTACCTAAATTAGTGATCTGCTCAACAAACTGTTAGCTGTTTTGACCATTTTACTGCTGTTTATTAATTGATTGATTGCATGGGAAGAGAAATTAAGATGGAGAATCCTTCAGGCAATCTGTTCTGGGGAGCGTTACAGTTGTGCTTAAGATGGGGCTGCCTCCTTCCATTATATGGCTTGACTGAGGTGTTATTATAATAGTATTTTATTAAAAACTATTTTCTGTTGTCATTCAGCTTTTTGGGTTACTTTTCAAATTCATCTTATTATATTGTTACTATATTGGTAAGCTAACAATACAGCTATCTTTCCTGTCTTTTCTTCATGTGAAAGAGTGACAATATAGTGTATTCTAAAATAAACTTTGTTTTAGAAAAAAAACCAATGTATTTCTTACTCAGAATATATTAACTTATAAAATTCAGCCTATAGAATATGTGTTTGTGCATAGTTTTTAAGTAGAGTTTTGTATTTGTGCCATGTTGTTAGTTTTCTTTCCAATTCTTTCTCCCATAGCTCTCATTTATTTTCCATCTTTTTCCTTTGATCACTTTCATTTTACTTAGGAAATCAGTTTAAACTCTTGCTTCATCTCTTCCAGGAATTCTAGTTGAATTTATATACAAGCTGTCTTTTGTTTTTTTCTTTTTTTTTTTGGTAGCTTTGCTTGTAGATATTTTGGAATTTTTTTACTTCCAGAATTGTGTCCTGAGTGTGGTGGTATTCTTTTTTTGTTTGCTCATTCTTCTAATCCTACTTTCTCACTTCATGCTTTACATTAGAGCCTTATTCTGACGCTTCCGGAGAGAATTTCTGGGCTGAGCTTTTATCTTTTTGGGCCTTGCTATTGCTTTCTTGGGATATTGGATGTAATTCTAGGATCTCAGTGACAGCCCATGTTTTCAGTGCTCCCAAGTTGTGTGTGTATGGAGGTGGGGAGGAGGTAAAATAAGCATTTATGTAGTAGCTACTATGTTCAAGGTACTGTGCTAAGTGTTGTTTACAAATATTATCTCATTTGAGCCTCCAACAACCCTGTAAAGTAGTTGCTGTTATCCTCATTTTACAGTTGAGAAAACTGAGGCAAACAGTGATTAAATGAATTTCCTGGAATCATACAGCTAGTAAGTATCTGATCCTGTATTAGAACTCAAGACTTTCTGACTCCAAATTCACTGCTCTATTCACTGCACTACCAGCTGCCTCTGAAAAGCAGTCTGATCCAAGGCATTCTTAATTGTTGCCTTTCTGGTCTTAGCTCTGCAAATTCTTGACCCAAGTTTGAGTGTGAGTAACACAACCCTGGGCTTGTCCCTAGTTGGAGTTCTGGTGGAGTGCTGCTAGACTCAATCACTTTCAGCTAGCTGAGAAGCTCTATAGATTCAAAGTGACAGAACTTTATGCTCCTCTTTGGTCTTGAATTCTTGCCCTGCTTGGGCTGTCCTGCTATGAGGGTTAGTCATACAATTATCTGCGTTGATCCTTGCTCAGTACCTGGCCTAGGGTCTGCAAGTCTCCTTGCCCTGGACCACCACCCTTAAGCTCAGTTCCATTCTTGACCATGTATTGGATCTGTGTCCCAGAATTGATTAGTAAATGGCAGAGCTGCCATTTGACACTTGTTCCTGTTCCCAGAATGAGTTTGGGTCGCTCGGTGTGGATCTGGGACTTCTTTCTTGCCTGATGCATTGAAATGCACCACGTGGCCATTCCTGGCTAGATAGACCCTATTGCCTCTGTCCGCAGACCTCTTTGTCTCCTTATGCTGACCTTGCCTGGAAAAATGGCTCATGATTTTGTCTTGAATTTCCTGATCAGTACTTGGCTGGTGTGTTTATACACACACACACACACACACACACACACACACACACACACACACACATTTTCAGACAAGTTGTAGGAAAGAACTTGGCAGGGATTCTTCCTGCCATGCTGCCATCTTGACTGATCTCTTTGTATGTGTGTTTTTTAAAAAGACATACTAATTAGTCAGCATCTTTGGTTTGCAGAATATTAATTTAACCTTTTTTTTCCGCATAGTAGAATTAATTCACCTATATATTTTCCCTAATGGTATTAGTCTAGATAATATGGTAATACAACACAAGAAGAATAATTAGCATAACTCTGAATCACACTTGTTTTTATGCCGGTTTAAAAAAAAATTAAAATGTACTATCCTGATCAGAAATATTAAGAGTATGAGGGCAGGTACCATGTTTTTGCCTTTCTTTGTTTCCTCAGCTTTAGTGCCTGGCACATAATAAGTGATTAATAAATGCTTATTGATGATAATGGATGATGATGGATGAAATACTTGACTTTTGCAACTTAAATGAAGCAAGTTAATAAAGAATTGAGACTATAGTTTATTAGTGTACATAATCAGTCACATGATTTTATAGTAAGTCTAGATTTGTGAAATAGATTCAAATATATTTTCATATATAATGAAAATAGAAGCTTTTTACCTAAATTTACTTTGGAAAATTGGTCAGTTCAATTCAGTAACTGCTAAATGTTAGGTATTGCACAAAGCACTGCAGATAAAAAGACAAAAATGAAACAGTACTCCACTCTGGAATATTAAATTATACTGGAGAGATGAAAAAGCATAATCCAAGGTGTGGAGTGAAGGAGGCAAGGAAGAAAGTACACTTTTCAGCTTTAAGAAAAAAAGAGAAGGGAGCAACTAGGTGGCACAGTGGATAGAGCACTGACCCTGGAGTCAGGAGGACCTGAGTTCAAATCTAGCCTCAGACACATCACACTTACTAGCTGTGTGACCCTGCGCAAGTCACTTAACCCCAACTACCTCACACACACAAAAAAAGAAGAAGAAAAGAGAAGTAATAGAAATGATTGAATGAATTTACTTCGTTAATACTTTGTTAGGGTTGTAGAATTTAGAATTAGAAGGTGACTTAATCCTTGAGTTTACAGATAAAGAAGCAGCCTCAAGGAGATAGTGTTTTGCCAAAAGTTATAGTGATTGATTGTTAGACCTAAGAACAGAAATCTATTTTGCTGATTCCTAGTTCCTTCCATTACTCTGACAGCGAAAAAATTTGAACAGTAGTTGTTTAAATGCTAAGAAGATACATTTTAATGTATTTGTCAGAGTTTGTTGAAAGGGGTTGCAGAACTTTGAACAAAGGACTTTTTGAAAAGGGCCAGTTGTATCCTAGCCCACCAAAATTCAGGCCTATAAAATGCTGTTAATAAGGGATAGAGTTTATATGCTATGACAGTTACATGAAAATGACTGGGTTTTTGTTATTGTTGTTGTTAAACTCTTTGGGCAGACAAATTTTTATGTTTAGGAGGCAGATGAAAACCTGGATTCCCTGAATTTAGTGTATTTGAATTAGAATTAGATATTAAGCAGAAGCTAAGTGGAAAAGTCCAATCTCCAGTATGGCAATAAAATCTCTTTAGTGTGATGAGCTTCATTAAAAAAGCTAACCTAAGTATAAGTTAAGTTAATTGAAAAGTTGATATCTAACTAATTTTATGATTACCTCTTTAAGTGGTAAGAGTAGCTCAGCTTCATAAAAGCAAAGACAGTGTAAGGCCAGGCCATGAAGAGCTGCATGAGGCTTTAAATATGTAGGGAAAGACCAAGCTGTAACCCCTAGATTGAGACCAATAATAATAATTGTCAATAA